TGTCTGCAGGATTTGCTGCATGACTCATGATTGTCTCTTCAATGACAGTTATCCATCATATCTAAAGGACCTGATATCCCTTTACGCTCCAGAACGCTCACTCCGACTGTCCAATCATCACCAACTAAATCAACTTCTATCCACCTCTGTGTTGTCTGATTGCACCTTTTCAGTTTGCAGTCCCATGTTCTTGAACTCTCCACCTTCAGAATTAAGGACCACTATATACAAGGAGGATTTTAAGTGTCTCCTCAAAACCCACCTCTTTCGCATTGCCTTTCACTAGACTCCATGGATTTTGTCTGTACATTTGTTCCTTGACTTTTTCTGATTTTGTCTAAGCACCAGTGAGCACCTATTAATGGATACTAGGTGCTAGATAAATCCATATTGTTAAACTTATCCTATCTCACGTTTGCACCTCTCTCTTGCTTCGACCTTTAGTGGAACAACTGTAATTTTCTTCTCCATAGGCCTCTTTGTCCATTCTCCTGTGCACTCCATGCTGCTCTCCTTGATTAGCTTCCTTGTCCCTCATGAAGCTTGCAGCATGCTCCCCTAAAAGCCCATGTGACTACCTCTGAATGATCATTCTTGTCTTGGACTCAACGTCGTAAACTGAGTAGTTAGGAGGCTGGGCGGGCATCCATCACATTAGATAGGATAAGTATATAAATATACAATTTATATTAAATTTTTCAAATTTTTCAACTTACCCCATGGTTGGACGCCCGGCCACAGATTATCCTTCTGTTTGGACAGTGCGAACAGCTGGTTACAGGAGCTGTGTGGACTGATGACCACCGTAGATAGCGATGTACAAGGGAAGCCTGTTGTGCTGAATGCATCTCCTATGCTTGTAATGGGTTCTCCAGAACCCCTCTGCTTACTTAGCACAACGACTCCCAGGGAGTAGGCCTCGCCTCACCACGATTTACAGGGTACCCCGTTATTGAAGTCTTGCAACTGGAATCGGGCAAGCCCCTGCTTCGAGAAGGCCCCTGCAGACACCAGCCGTGGCAAGTGAAAGAGAAGCACAACTCAGCAACTCCAAGTTTTAGCGTTCAGTTCTGGGACAGCATCAAATTGACCATTACTCCTTTGCATAAGCTTAGGATGTGCCGGCAACTTTAGGAGGCAGAACACAATGAAATCCACTGGAATTCGGGAGTGACACACTTCACTGACATAACTGCTCCGTGTAGTAGAGGTCAGTAAGCGTGAATGTCGAACAGCTCTGCATCGTCATACTGATTGTGATTCAGGTCCATAGGGCCATGCTTGGTGGCTGTATTCCGATGCCTTGGTATGGAAGCCAAGTGAAGTAGTTCTTAAACTCATAAGATGAGAACAAAAGATGTCACTGAGATCCAGTTCTGACTTATGTTCCATATATAGAAGGAAGTAGTAATGCACAAGCGAAACCGTCCCTCCGGGATGAGGATGTATTACTTGTACATCTTATAGTATTAAGAGTAGTACAAGAAAATTACCAAGTTCTTCCAGGAAGTCTGTGAAGCTGTGTTGTGTGTAAACCAGGTAAACCAGGCAATATCTGAGGACCATTTTGTGATACTTCATTCAAAAATGAAAAATGACTTGAACAACATACCAGACTTATCCTAGACTATCCATATTAGTTACATCATCCCCAGAATAGAGTGAGTGAGTTTAGTTTTATGCCACTTTTTAGCATTATTCAAGCAATATCACGTTGGGGGACACCAGAAATGGGCTTCACACATTGTACCCATGTGGGGAATCGAACCTGGGTCTCCGGCCGACAAGCAAATGCTCCCCAGAGCAGAAGAATATTCAGCATGAGAGTGCCTTGGGAGAAGGGTTCAACACCCGGACAGCCTCAGGTAACACATTGGGGAGATGTGGGGTTCATCATCCCCAGAGCAGAAGAGTGGTCAGACAGAGAGTGCTTAGGGAGAAGGGTTCAACACCCGGACAGCCTCAGGTAACACATTGGGGAGATGTGGGGTTCATCATCCCCAGAGCAGAAGAGTGGTCAGACAGAGTGCCTAAGGAGAAGGGGGTAATACCCAGACAGCCTCAGGCAACACATGGTGGAGATGTGGGTTACATCATCCCCAGAGCAGAAGAGTGGTCAGACAGAGAGTGTTTAGGGAGAAGGGTTCAACACGCGGACAGCCTCAGGCAACACATGGTGGAGATGTGGGGTTCATCATCCCCAGAGCAGAAGAGCAGTCAGACAGAGTGCCAAAGGAGAAGGGTGTAATACCCAGACAGCCTCAGGCAACACATGGTGGAGATGTGGGGTTCATCATCCCCAGAGCAGAAGAGTGGTCAGACAAAGAGTGCTTAGGGAGAAGGGTTCAACACCCAGACAGCCTCAGGCAACACATGGTGGAGATATGGGGTTTTCATCATCCCTAGAGCAGAAGAGTGGTCAGACAGAGAGTGCTTAGGGAGAAGGGTTCAACACGCGGACAGCCTCAGATGTGGGGTCCATCATGCTCAGAGCAGGCGCTAACGCCTCCAACCTTATAATCAGGTGAAATTTCTCTCTATATAAACTTGGAATATTGATAATAGCTTTCAGCCAATGATACTTAGTCTCTTTGTATTTTGGCAATTCCAAATGACCAATGGACATACCTGTAACAAATTAGGAGCCACGTGACCATGTGTGTAAACCAAAATAATTGTACCGCTTTGCTTCATAGTAAATGTGGAAATCAAGTTTTCTATAAATCTCTAATTTAAACACATTCTGTGTTCTTACTGATCAAAAACCTTAAACTAATACACTTTCTATTGAAAACAATTTTACACACGTAATAGAGCACACTTGCAGTGGCTCAGTGCGTAATTTTGAATTGCAGAATCGGAAAATACGTTTTTCCATTTCAGTAGCAATCATTAGCTTTTCCTGGAATTTAGCGAAAGACAGCGTAAATGTTATACCATCTCAGTAGTCGCTGTGCGAACCCATGCTCGATTATAGATGCTGGCATGACAGAGGCAGTTCTGAACAAGTCTTACACATGGAAACGAATTGGATTTGGACTCAGTATGGGGATGGGTGACTTTTTTGGCTGGAGTGCAGTGGACTTTACTGGGTGCAGCCTGTTGCAAGCAATAATCATGCTAGAGTGCTACTGCCTGTTAGCACTGTCTCGCTATATCGCTATAATAGTTCCGTCTGCCTTCGCCTACAATCTGCGATCCTTAGGTTTAGGGTTAGTGTATGGCACCCTTTCCAATCCTTAGGGAGCTGACACATCTTTAGAGGCAAACAACCCTTTACGATCCTTGAAGGGGTACCATTCACATGATTTTTACAAACAAGCGGGGAATCGGGGGAATATGTCATCTTTTTGATGACTTGTTACCATCTGCCATAAAACACAAACAATATAACCATGTTTCCTCCGTCCATCGCTAGTACTTCATTTCCAGACATGGTTAGACATGATTAGTACCTTTGATATGAAATGTCATATACTGGAAATGAGAGTACCGTATTTGCGATGCGAGTGCCAATCTCTAATAGAGGCAAGTCTCTAATAGACGGAGGTATGGTCATTGTGATGCTCTTGAAATCAGCTTCACCCCTTCTAATCATATCACATCCTTCTCATAAAGTTCTTATCTATTCAGGTGCCTCCAACGTTGCCTTTTTAAAGGCTTTTCTTGTTTGGAACAGACAATGGCTTCATGCAAATTAGTGTGTGATGATATTGTATTACAAAGGACACTTTTTAAATGCCCATTTTGAAATTAAACTTAGCTTCATTATAAGTGATAGCTGACGTAAAACATAATACTTTTAATACTGAAACTATCAAGGATGTAGCTACCATGGAGTCTCACAATCACTATATAAAGAAACAGGTAGGAGGGGTCGTCTCAAAAGCAAAACCATGATGGGTGTCGCAGACGGTGGTTGGGGTCAGGCTGGGGAATAGAGATATCAGCTAAGATAATCCTTTAGGGGAATTAAACTGGGGAAGCAAACAGCATGTCATAACAATTTACAAACAAAATCCAGTCCGGCAGATCTTCGGGTGGTCATGCCACCTATATATTTTGAGACATTTAATACGATGGCTGATTTAGGCTTTTCTGTGGGTATTATACTCTTTAACATATTTCAACATAAACATTGTGAAAGAAAGACATGTAAGATGTTAATCAACTGTTACGGTAAATAATTTGCCATGACAAAAGGTTTAAGAATCCCCTTTGAACCAGCAAAATAGAACACAGACAAGTCTAAAATATTCTATAATATATTGAACAAACAATGAGCAAGCTACAATGAATGACGATACAGATTTCTAGTACAATGCAATTGAGTCACAAATCTAAAATATTGGGTTACAAATACAAAATACGAACTCACCAGAGTCTTGACATTTACAGTGAGAGCAGATATACTGATTGAAGGTTGTTTACAATGACAAGAGGCAAACAAGGTCAGTCTTGAAATGTTGAGAAACTCAACGATGGAAGACAGATGTGCATAAATCCAGCCATGTCAAAAGTCCCAACACAACAACCAGCTTTTATATAGTTCTCGAGCATTCTAGCAAAGCTAGGTTCCATCATTATTGTCTCAAAATGATACCGAATCATGTGGAACACACGGCATGATGAATCAACAAGTTGCCAAGGGAGGCAACTCTGAAGCACTATCTCAAAAGTTGTACCGCTACAAATACTATTGCCATCGAACATATATGATGCGAGATGCAAGCCAAACCCAACACTCAAAACTTTAAACAGTGTGACCCATAATAACTATCACGTAATCAATGATAATACAAATTACAAAAAACACTCTCTCATAACACAACAGATGAAACATATTCAACACACAAAAAAAAGCATAAAATATCTTTGAGATGACCCATTGTAGGCAGCACATGCATTTCATGCCAGTTGAGTCGACGGTCCGTTGTCATACCTGGCTGAGTGGCCTAATTGCTATCTATAGTCTGATCTATTGTTTTCAGCAGCTATTCAACTTTTGCCGATTTTACGAGTAAACATGCTTTTCTGGATATCCTATTACGCATCCCACTGAACGGCCAGTTAGGCCGATGTTGGTTATTTCGACATACTAGTATGCAATTTGCAGTTGTGTACATTTTAGGGATATAGAGTAACAGCCTAAAAACAGTTTTTTTTCTATTTCTGACAATACTTTAGTATGCTTATTAGTTTTATTGTTTGGCTTATTTTTGCCATAATCATCTGTAGCTAGAGGGAAGGTGTAATATGTAGCTGAGTTACAATGTAAGTAGCAGGGGAATAGTAAAACTGGAGCTTCTTGCAATCTATACCCCATTTTTATATTGTGCCACTCATTCAATCACTCACTCACTCACTCGAATGGGGACTTTCTGATTAAACATGTTAGTTTCTGCTTAACTGGATATTTCCTCATGGTAAGCATTTTATGCAGGTCTGGACTTAGTGGATGTGGGCCTGGATGATGTCACACTACGTTTGAGCAAGCAGGCAGTGCGAAGACACTTACAGTTTGCATTACAGGCTCTTGTTGCAGTATTTGGTAAGTACAAATTTACAAACAAATGAAGCTTATAGAATACTGTCGTCACATGATTGTGATCTGTTTTTTTGTTTCTAGATTACATTTTTATAACTTGATTAACACACGCACGCCTATCTCTTATTGTTCAAACCAATGTAGTTTTATTGTAAGTATTCTTTTTTATATTTAGAATATAACTTTTTTTTAAACTTAATCATTCTCACATTTCTGCTTAGATTACAAAATTAAATGTAGAAATTGTACTCTTCATGATTCCCAGCCTTATAAACATCATACAAACTCATTCAAAAGCATGGAACATGTTCTGGATGAGCCCATGCCTTACCCAATCTAGTCATCCTCTTTCTTCGTGTGTTCATTATGTTTGATTTAACAACCTTGTTGGTTTTCCTGTCTATACAGCCACTGTTAACTGGAGTGTCTTAACAGGAAAGTTTGCCAAGCACACTGTTTCACTTTCCGACAATGATCGTTGCTTAAGTTTCCTTCCTTGTGATGAGTGCAAGCATATCAACAAGTTCAATAAGTATCTCAAGAAATGTCAGAGGCATGAAATCTGTTAGCAATCTAGAGCATCCCCTGCCCCTATTACTCCCAATATAGTGAAAATGTTGCTGAATTATTGCATAAACATTCCCTCTAGTATGTATTTTTACCCCTATTTTCTCACAAGAATTCAATAAAGAAACTTTTAGTGGTATGTGAGTTGGTTATAAGTTCAGAGTTACTCCCCTTTGGGCAGGAAATCTGACAGGAAGTTCCTCCTTCACTTCTCAATTTTTCTTTTGTGTCAATGTGACAACACCTATCAGTGATCAGAGAAAGATTCCTCAGTGTTTTTCACATTGGATCGTATTTAGTTCATTCTTCGATCATACTTCATCTTTGTGTGTGTTATTCCATAGGATTCTGTGAGTTCAAGTCAAGACTTATTTCTCAATAAGGCCACTGTAACTATCTCCGATTCTAACGAATCCTCGGTTTTGACGGATAGAAGTCGCAACCGTATGGTTGTGAGACCCTCTAGCAGGGGTTGAGTGATGACCTGATCAGGCAGATGCAATCATGCAGGGGACCACAGGATTTGAAAGGTTCCAGTTGATCACAGGAAAGATTGTGTGATTGATCACAAGGATTGACAGTCAAATTGGGACGGACTGAAGTGATAAGACCTTCACTTATATAATAATAGTAGATTTGTATTGCGCTTTTCCATACTTGGATATTATGCTCAAAGCACTTGAGGGATCATAGGAATGATTGTGTGAATGATCATAAGGATTGACGGTCCAATTGGGACAGACTGAAGTGTTGAGACCTTCACTTGAGGGATCACAGGAATGATTGTGTGAATGATCACAAGGATTCATGGTCAAATTGGGACGGACTGAAGTGATAAGACCTTCACTTGAGGGATCACAGGAAAGATTGTGTGAATGATCACAAGGATTGATGGTCAAATTGGGACAGACTGAAGTGTTGAAACCTTCACTTATAGGAATGATTGGGAGCATTGGCATTCCAATGTGAGTGAGTGAGGTTAGTTTTACTCCGCACACAGCAATATTCCAGCTATATGGTGTCAGTCTGTAAATAATCGAGTCAGGACCAGACAATCCAGTGATCAACAGCATGAGCATTGATCTGTGCAATTGGGAACCGATGACATGTGTCAACCAAGTCAGCGAGCCTGACCAACCGATCCCGTTAGCTGCCTCTTACGACAAGCATAGTCGCCTTTTGTGGCAAGCATAGGTTGCTGAAGACCTATTCTACCCCTGGTCTTCACGGGTCTCCAACACCCGAGAGGATCAGCAATCATAACAGAAGCACTTGACATGATCAGTTCATCTTCTCTGAGAACAGAGTATCATAGGATGGATCAACTTAAAGATCAGGATTTCCAGTAGGATCTGACCTCAGCTAAATTGAAAAACATACTTGAAGTCTGTCATCCTTCTCCTAAAAGGATGTTATTTGTGACACTGTCAAGTAGATATTGGATGGTTCAAAACTTCAGCTTCAACTTGGCGAACTTGGGAACACACTCTTTGAAATCTCTCTCCATCCTGTCTTTTTGATGCACATTCAGCATTGAGGACAGGAAAATGACAAATGCTGATGCACACTCAGCATTGAGGACAGGGAAATGACAATTGTTGATGCACACTCAGCATTGAGGACAGGGAATTGACAAATGCTGATGCACACTCAGCATTGAGGACAGGGAAAAGACAATTGTTGATGCAGGGATAAGATGTACACTTCAAGCTTAGTATAATGTTGATAATCCTGTCAGCCAGAGAGACAAAAGCTGTGACATTCAGCATATATTCACAGACAATAAAGTGCCTGTTCTGGCAGCAATTGCACTAGCATAATTGAACAATACAAAAAGGCCTGCTCATGTTGAACCAGGGATAGAGACTATAAGACCTGTATGGATGAGTTCGGCCAATCTTCTAGCAAAAAATAGAAGCAGACAATAAAGAAGGCTAGGTGCAGGTTCCCTCTGACTCATAACTTAACAAGGACCATCTAATACATTGACAGACCCACTGATGCACGTTCAGTCAATTGCTTCAAGAGTAACTTCTTTGAGAGGCCTTTTAGAAGTTGTCAAGGGGATCAAGGTTATTTTATCTCCTAAGCCTATCACCACCTAATTAAAGATCACCAGTAATCCACCCATACCTCGTCCAACTGGCTTCTATGCTCCCTTTTGTGTATTGTAATCACAACCAATCAATGTGTACATCAACCTACTCTCTTCAACTCACGATTACCATCTCAGTGTACATCAACTCATCTATTGTATAAACTCATTCTGCATATTGTTTTAATCACTATCACTCTGTACATCAACCTACTCTGCTCAAATCACTAATTAGCAATCAAATGTATATCAACCTTGTCAATTGTATATACACACTATGCAGCTATGTATATATTCTTCTTGTTACAACTCTTACTTGCTTGATAATGGTCTTAGTACCTACACCAAAACGTCGCACTCATTGCAATAAAGAAGTTGACTATCCATAGAACTTGGTTTTTGCTTCAAGAGCAGCAGTCATCAGGAGTTTGTCAATTCATCCCTTATCTGGATTCATTGATTCCTCTGTCTTTTCCTGATCCTTCCTGTAGATTTAGCGATCCCTCACACTGCTTTGCTGATCCCCCCCAATAAATTCAGTAGTTCCTCCTGGATTGTCCATCATTCCTAGTTCAACAATCCTTCAAGAAAGAGATCAATCATTTCATCATGCAAGTTTCATCCCCCCTTCTTCTAAAATGTCAGTACAGCACCATTGATTGTGACATCTCTGCTGTTAACATCAACAAGTTGTAATTCTACTTTGACATCATAAGATCTGATATTTCCAGCTACATTCAACAGCCCTGTCTACATTATGTAGCCAGCTTCCACCTGCCTAGCCTAGTTTATTCTAGCCTCCTACGATCTCCAGGCAGGACCTTATTATGACATAAGGAATTTTGTGGATATCAACTTCTTTATTATGAGGAACACAACGTTTCGGAATATTATGCTTACGCCTTCATCAGGTAAATGAATGGTATGAGGCAGAGAACATATGTACATGTAAAAACAACAAAAGTAATAAGACAACGAAGATGCAGGCTAAACAATGGAAGCCAACAGTTCCATGGCATTGATGTGTGATTGGCCAAATAGAATCCAACACTTAACTATTAAATTGTGTTGATAGGCGATGAACAGTGGACAGCTAGAATCCTGGATTAAATTAAATGGACTAAGGGCAGATGGGAGGTAGGGGGTAATAGCACTAATAGAAATTGATAAATTGAGGCAAGAACAAAAATAATTAGCATGGACATTGATAAAGATGACAGACAACAATACACAATGATCAAAGAAAGCCCAGGCGCTGCTCGGTAGGTGTTTCTCTGGTCATAGTTCATGGCTGGCTAAGTGTCTCCTTATCATATGTCAATGGCTTCTTGCAGTTTTCTTTGTCGCCAGTTGTTGTTGGTGGATAGGACTTTTGTGACTTCCCACATGATGTGATGATCTTGATAAGCATATACCCGAAATGCGTTCCTCATTATAAAGAAGCTGACATCCATAAAACTCTCTTCCTTATGTGTATCACTTCTAAATGCCATTCAAAGACCTTATTATGACAGATCATTGACCTACTCTGTGATTTGTCGATCCCTCCTCAACCAGTCGAACCCATTTCATGGGAATATTGAGGTTATGGACTTTGAGGATGTCCTTCACATTGATTAATGCACAACAATGTGATCCACTGTCTTCTCATAGTAGATTATGCATTTCTGCATTAATTGCCGTCACCTTCTCCTCAACACCTTTCAAATGGTGAATCTACACCCTATGAAGATGTTTAACTCATTAACGCCGAGAGCCGCATTATGTGTGATAAATTAATTAGCTCCTCAGAGCGAGGGACATGTATATACATCAGTTAATTAGCAGTTTCTCACAGTGAGAGAAGAATATGTGCGTCAATAGAAAGCACCTCTTATTTAGCGAGTGATGCACATGTGTGTCCTTATTTTTTTATTATCGCAATATAACTATTATTTCAACCAATTTAGAAGCACTGAGCAAAGATTAGCATTTCTTATGAGAGATGCTACCTTTAGTGTTGATCACAGAAAGTATTTAGAGTTTTTTGATAGCAATTACTAATCATCATCATAGACTTATACAATGTTTGGTAAATAAGCCCATGTCGGTGAGAAAAGGGATTATGAGATGTTTTTTACAGATGTAAGTGTTTGGTACTCTTCTTGGGAGTGGGCACTAAATACTTTTAATGCACATTGATTGAATCAAAGTAATTGTTTAGAGGTGCCAAAAGACTATATTTTCTTCAACTGCCTAATAAATACGAAACAAGATATGAAATTTCAAGGACATGCAAAGAATTCAAACAAAATAGAATACTTTGAATTTATGTTTTAGGTATCATTACATTGTCTTATTTTATATAATAAATCGTAAACACTCATAACTATACATCCAAGCTCGAAGAGATTAAACATAAACTAAGTTACCAATTTAAAGCTTACTGAATTTTAACTATTTCTTTCTCATATCAATAAAGTTGATAGTGTTACATAAAGTGATAACTCGCGCCTTTGCATAGACACATTATATATGTATGTGTCATTGTTACCTCTATTCCCATAAATTATTGAGAAAATCTTTGTTTCCTAATACTGACAATAGAATTGTAAAATAGGTGTTACATTATGTAGTAAGGTACTCAATATAGGAGGCAACTCTTGTAGGCTTAACAATGAACCTTACTACATCAAGAGTTATCTCCCCGGTATAGCAGACGGCTTCCTTTGTTGACATGGCAGATTTGACAGCAGAAGAGAAAAAAAGAAAGCTGGTTGTAGATGATTTTGAAAGGGGTGTGACTAATGCAAAAGAGTTAGCTGGTAGACATGACATTCCTCTGTCTGCAGTATACAGAACTTTGAAAAGTATTCGGTCAGGAGCCGGGATTGAGCACAAGAAAGGGCTTAAGAAAGTTCAGTACTACAGATAGCCGGCGACTTGGTCAGGTTGTGAGTAGGGGAAAGTTGAAAAGCATTGAGAATGTCAGAAATGAGAATTGCAAAGACTTAAGTGGGTGAAAAAGCGAGGAATTCCCTTACCATTGCTGAAACTGTTGTAGGGCTCACAGAAATCAAGATTGTGATAATGTTTTCTTTTCTGATGAAAGTTCTGTCTGGCTTTTTCCAATCTGTGTGAAAATTTGGACAAAAGACTCCGTGAAACCTATCTACCAATGCCCAAAACATAGCCCGAAAGTGGAGTGACGCCGTTGTGTATTTTCACTGGATATTTGATGAAGGAACGATATGCTGACATCTTAAATGGTCACCTCCTTCCAACAGTCCGAACACTGTATGAAAGATAATTGGATTTCCAGCATGATAGCGACCAAAAACACATAGTGGACTACACAAAACAGTGGTTGTCAGACGAAAATGTTCAAGCTTTAGACTGGCCCAGCCACAGCCCAGATCGTAACCCTATTGAGAATGTGTGGGGACTAATGAAGGACAGAGTAAACCAAAAATGACTTAGAAATATTGAGGATATGAAGAAAGAAGTGGTCGAGTATTGGGATATACTGTCACACGGTTTCCTACTTACTTTGATCAGTAGTCTACCTAGGCGCGTTCACTCGTGTATTGCAGGGCAAGGAGCTCTCACAAAGTACTGAAAAGACACTTAGACTGTAAGAAAATCATAATGTATCTCAACATATTCTGTTAGCAAAACTTCTGTAGTTTATATACATGTATTAGATATTTGCCAAAACAACTCTCAATAATTTCTGGGAATACTATATTACAACACTGAAGTCTTTTACTATGTTTGTTACAAAACACAGTTCGTAATTCAAAATTCTTAGACATAGATAGAAGTAATGTCATAAGTGATTTATTACATGTAAACTAGGGTTGCAACGATTCACCCAGATCTCGATTCGATTGGATTTTTGATAGTGGAGCCTCAATTTGATCATTTTCGATTCTACATACAAGTAAAAACATCAGACTCTCAGAGTCCATCGTCACCTTGCAATGTCTACTGACAACAATTTTCATGGCTGAAGTGAATAAAAGATATTGGAAAATGGATAACTAGCCCATCGTCAACCAATCACGTTTCGCCTTTTTTCAGTACTTGAAACTGCTCAATTTGGAGTCAAAATTATGTTCTGGCTGTGTGGATGTAATTTAAATAGGTATTCAAATATCGAATCAAAATAGTGATAATGGTTATCGAAAATGGAAACTAAGGTGTCAGATTCGATTTTCGATGAATCAAACCGAATCGTTGCATCCCTATTGTAAACCATATAAAGTATTTCAAGCATTTTGTGAATGGCTGTGAATTGTAATTTTTCTATGCAGTTTACGTGAGTATTGTGTAACAAACTTTTGTATTTGATAGCTGTATATTTATGAATATTTTGAAAACATGTGTTTTGAAATGTTAAAATGTTGTCATGAAATATCAAAAATCTACTGAATTATCTTGGCACCTCGCTGTAGTTATCTTATTTGGTATTATCATGTGTATCAGTGAACTCAGTCTCTATTGATCCATCCATTCAATCATGCTATAGTTTATAGAATATATTAATTCAGTATCGTGTCGCTTTTTGAATTCTATAATACATGTATGTAGTAATGTAACTATTAGCGTGACTGAATTGACACGTAATGCTCCCTTAACTACCGGATGTAAACAACTGCTCCCTGTGTACCCCAATGCATGATGGCACTATCACGTCATCAGGCCATGTGCTTCCCGCCCAAGTATGTATGCTCCAGCCGACTGCAATAAAGCTGCTGCTCTCCAAGTCGTGTCATGTGCTTTTGGGGAATGTTACGATACCACAATGTACTTTGATTTGAATATTCATTCATTCATGCCAAGGTCCAGATGATATTTGCGTGTATGGCAAACCATTATGTTTTATGTACAGTGAAGCCCCGTTAGTCCGGACTCCAAAATCCGGAAGTCTCGGCTCGTGGACGATTTTAGCTTGTTACTAATCTATGACTATTTAATTTGCCTCGATAATCTGGAAATTCGGTTTCCGGAACCGGACAGTAAGTAGCTGTAACCAATCAGTAAAATAAACAGTAAATTGCTTCACAGTCCGGATGCTGTAAGTCGTGTTCAAGAACCATAACAACACCCCCCTGGCGATGTTTACTTAACTGGCCATAAACAAATAAAAACTCGGTGTCATGGAGTTGACAAGATGAACTCTTGTTAACTTTTGAGAAATGTCTATTAAGGATTCTTGTTTTAATTAGACATTAAAAGCTCCCACCTGAAGATGCTGTACATTTACACTTTGATTGACACCACAATAGAAAGGCGTGGATGCAAGTCACAAGTGTGCTTCGTTAACTTTGCGAAATGTGACCAAATACCACATCTCATATTTAACCGATGGATGCAGGAATAATTCGGACATTCAAGGCATACTACAATAGATCGCTTGTTAGACATTACCTCACCTGTGCTGAGGAAGGACGTGATCAGACACATCGGATCAACATGCGGATGCCACTCGGTAAAATTATTGATGTGATGAATTCAATGAGGAAGGTTAAACGAACACAAACAACAATGAAAGACTTTTTGCTATGACTATAGATTATTGTTGTACTTGCTATTCATTGTTTTATAAGCTTTACATTAAATGCTTATTTGTTTTATCCAGATTCGTGTCGTTTATGTAATAGTAAGGGAAGCAACTCTTGCTTGAACTTGGGTCTTGATTCAGTAGTCCGGACTATTCGCAATCCGGACAAATTTGCTGAGAAACGCAACCGTCCGGATTAACGAGGCTTCACTGTACTAGTTGTGTACACAACTGATAATAAATACTATCTCTACTCAATTGTTGGATTTCAGCCATTGTTGTTTTACTTATCGATAAATATTAACAAATGTGTGTTCGATCTCTGGGAACAAATAAACCCACCAAAGTGTCTATCTACTCCTACTTGTCTACCTGTACGACAAACTCATGGGAGGATAGGTTCCGAACTGATCTTTTTCGCCAACCGTGGTCTGGCTGGTCATTTTCAGGTTTCGGTGGAATTGTTGAAATTCAAATGATTGTAGGTAGAGCACTAGTTGCGCCAACAATGGCTAGCCCGTTATGTTCCTTCCAGTCCGGACCTTCGTTCGGGATCTGCTGCTTCCTTTCGTGGAAAGGGTTCATCTAGAGGACATTCCAGCCGTCAGCGTTGGGCATTCACTGCTTCATGACCAACTTCCGCTTCCGACCAGTCCTCCGCTCAACGGCCTGAGAAACAGTGACTTGTAGACATTAGAGCGTGACTGGGTTCTTCCGCCCCCAGTCGTGCCAATCCAGACTTCCCCAGTAGGTGGAAGACTTGGGATTTATGCTCCCAATTGGACCATCTTGGACGACCCTTACGTCCTCTCCACTTTGTTTCAGCTTCTGATCATCGGCAATCCTCCTCTGACTTTACTTCCGGATCACAGAATGTATCCCGCTCAGCAAACGGCTGTTTTACGATCCACGATAAACACCTTACTCCAGAAACTTGCAATCCAATCCCTGGGCCCAGCCCCCGGTCGACCCGGGATTCTGCTCTCCAATCTTTCTGGTTCCCAAGAAGGATTCGGACAAGTTGAGACTAATTTTCAACATGAAGGTCTTCAACGAGACGTTTTTGCAGCCTCCGCCCCATTTTCGCATAGTGTCGGTGGCCCTACTCAAGACCATTATCAAACCGGGAGACTACATGGTCAGCCTCGACCTACAGGATGCGTACCTTCACATCCCGATCTTCCCGGCCCATCGCAAGTTCCTTCAGTTTGTCTTCGAGGGCACTCACTATCAGTGGTGTTCGAAGCTTACATCGACAACTGCATTCAGGCGCAGACCGATCGTGCCCTTCTGCTTCATCACATGCAGTTGGTGATGCAGCTTCTTCACCAATTAGGCTGGCTAGTCAATCTGCAGAAGTCGGAACTAGTCCCTACTTGCCGTCTTCAATTCATTGGAGCAGTGTTCGACACAGAGGTCAACTGTTTGTCCAGAGGGATCATTTCTGCAAGATACAACGATTGGTTCCCTTTGCATTGGCGCAACTCAGGATGTTTCGCCAATGGCAGGAGCTCCTGGGCCTCTTGACGTCAGGTCAGGCTTTGACCCTCAGGGGTCAACTGCGACCTCGGCCCTTGCAGCTTTTCCTGGCGCCTTACATCAGAGTGGGCAATCCGCTTGCCTTGATCACTCTGCTTCCGGGACTATATCCCCATCTCCAGTGGTGGATGGAAGAGTTGAAAGTTTGCGGTGGAGTTTGCTTAGGGACGTTCATTCCGTCTCATCACCTGTATGTTGACGCATCTCTACACGGGTGGGGGGCTCACCTCGATCAGCAAGTGGCAGAGCAGAGGTGCATACCGTGCAGATCGCGCTTGCCACATCAACATTCTGGTGTTCAGGGTGGTGATTCTTTCAATCATTCACTGGCAAGATGTCCTACGAACAACTTCCCTCATGGTCCGATTGGACAACGCAGCAGTTGTGTGGCACATCAACAGGATGGGGTCAGTGGGGTCTCCTCAACTCCTGCAGTGGACACAACAGTTCTTTGACCTGGTGGACTCTCTCAACATCTCTGTGCAAGCCAACCATATTCCAGGGGTGAAGAATGTCTTCGCGCATTCTCTGTCCCGGCCGAAGTCGTCCCTCCCCAACAGAGTGGAAATTACATTCACAGGTGTTCCAGACCTTCTGCCTTTCGTTGACGACTCCGACAGTGGATCTATTCGCCACCCGGTTCAACCATCAGGTGCCTCTGTTTGTGTCTCCGATTCCGGACCCTCTGGCTTGAGGTCACGATGCTCTAGCCATTCTGTGGGACGACCTAAACGCTTATGCGTTTCCGTCAGTGTCCCTTCTTCCAAGCATACTACTGAAACTGCGTGCACCTCAGCGGATGACACTGCTTTTGGTCGCGCCCTACTGGCCGGAACAGAAATTTGTTCGTAAATCTTCAAGAACTAGCCGAAACAAATCCGGTACCACTTCCCGATCAGCTCAATCTACTGGTTCACCCGCACTCCAACCAGCTACATTGGTCTCCGCTCATGCTCCATCTTCACGTTTGGCGCATTTACATCGGTTGCTAACGGCTAAGGGCTATTCGAAGCGTGTTGCTACTGCCATCACTACAGCGCATCGCACCTCCACTAGGTCACTCTATGATGACAAGTGGAAGAATTTTGAAGCGTATTGCAGGAAGAAGGGCATAACATCTCCCACTATGGCATCTCTGCAGATGGTGGCAGAGTACCTTCAGCATCTCTGAACCTCCAGAAAGCTTAAAGGTTCTACGCTATCCACCCACCTGGTTGCTCTTAACACGGTTATTGCGTCGGCCTCGGGTGTGAAGGTGTCCTCTGTCCCTGAGCTCCAGTCTCGCCTCAGGTCTTATAAACTTGCTGACCAATCCTGGAAGTTCCGGCCTCCAGCTTGGGATCTTTCCGTTGTACTTACTCATCTCACGTCAGGTGATTATGAACCTCTGGAGGAGAAAGATTTTGAGCATGTCACCTTTAAGACCTTCTTTCTCTTGGCCTTGGCCACAGCTGCCCGTATTTGCGAGTTGCACGTTCTCGATGTCTCTCAGTTACGATTTGAGAGGTCTAGACATGCTAGAGTGTTCCTTCGTTTGAGGTGGGATTTTCTCACCAAGAATCAGTTACCAGGACAGCCGGACCGACGTTTACGATCCCACCGCTGTCTACTATCTTGGGCCCAGATGACAAAGAAGATCTTTCCTTATGCCCGGTTCGAGCATTACGGATTTACCTAGCTGCCTCTTAAGGATCGCCGCAGGCTGCGTAAGAGACTGTTATGAGACTCGGGCTCTCGCTTCCACCATGGCGCTTCACAGGATTTGTTCCCTCCAGTCCATCATGGAGGGATGTTTTTGGAAATCGGATACTGTGTTCGCTCACACTACCTGCGGGCTCTCTCGGTTACAGATGTGGAAGGTCTACATCAATTCGGCCCCTTGGTGCTGGCGCAGCAATTGTCATTGGCCCATGTTCGCAGATAAAGCAATCCTTCTTTTATCAATGTAATCCATGTCTTGGTATTTTTTTACATATGGGCTTAGATCAATCTCACCTAGGGAACTAGGGTGTGTCTGCACTGTCATAGCTATGACTGGATAGACTGTGAGGCCAGTCTTGTGCTACATGCAAAGATGGTCGACACTCTGCTTACTGACCTCTACTCTTTGAGCAATTACGTCAGTGAAGTGTTGATTTCTGATTACCTACATGGTTTTCGAAGCGTTCCGCTCCTAAGTCCTTTCTCACATTTGGTAAGTTGGGGGGATTGGTACTGAACGTTAAACTAGTTGAGCAACAGGGCTATTCCCTCTTTCATCGCCTTACAGCGTGTGTCTGTGGGGGTTAGTTTCGAAGCAGAGTCGGGCCAGATTAAGGTCTTTGACTTTAATTCACTGGGGTAACCTGATAAATCGCGGGGAGGCGGGGCCTACTTGCCAAGCTTCGTCCTTTTGCTTGTCAAAAGTTGCGGCTGAAAACCACATAAATTCGGGAGTGCCCACTCCCTAGAGTGTTTGTGCTGTGTAAGCCAAGGGGTTATCTGAAGAAACCCATCACAAGTTTGGAGTTTGCATATCGGGAGTTGGTGCTTTACCCTGGCCTCCTTGTGTTCACGGTTGTAGTATTGACAGGGTAATCTGCAGCCCTCCTACCAACCGTGGGATTAATCATACCGTGAGATAGGATAGGATAGGAAGTTTAAAAATTTGGAAATTGTAACTATAAATTGTATATTTATATACTTATCCTATCTCACGCGATGGATACCCACCCGACCTGCCCCACATCACAGATTACTGGAAGCTCCAAGACAAGAATGACAGGCACAGGTCGTCACGTGATCATCTGAGCTATCTGCATGCTTATTGAGATGATTGACAGGTGCTGATATCGGAGTGGGGGCAGAGGTCAGAGGCCAGTAAGATTTGATTTAACTTAGTCTACAGCACCTTTCCACACATGGTCGTAGAAGAAGAGGAGAGGTGCATACCGTGAGATAGGACAAGTATTTATCATCCAAAACTGTGTTCCACAGGAGATATCGCTTGTGTGAGATCAAACGATATCTCCTAGGAGATATCGTTTTGACAGTAGATTTTGTACAATGCCCTGACAATGCTATGACGTCATTTACTTGATGACGTCACAATGCTATGACATCGATGCCCTGCAAGTCTAATGGCAGTACCATGTTCAGAGATGTACATTTTTCATTGAAAATTAATGAAGATTGATTTTAGATGATAAATAGAATCTCACCCTCGTGTCTTCTGATATCAAATATATCAACACTCGTTGATAAAGTAAAAATATCCTCAGCAAGCCTCGGATATTTGTAACTTTATCAACTCGTGTTGATATAATTGATATCAGAAGACACTTGGGTGAGATTCTCTATATATAGTATGACCAGAAGTTATTGCGAATTTTAGGAATATGTTGAATTGGATTTCTAGTATATACAACCTTGACCAGCTATCAAGTGCTTGGTTTCATTCAAGAGAGACAACTCAGTTAATCCTTTTTCATTAGTTTGTGAAGAGTTATCCCCCTTTGTTTACTTCCTAGCAGACGACATTTTCAGTGATATAGCAAGGACATCAGATCAGCTAAAGTGATTTCAAGTAGAACAGGCATCCTTTTGTCCACTGTTTATCGTGTTTTGAAAAATATTGCAAATGGATATGGCATTGAGCACCAGGAGGCCGCTTGGTATTTTTGTTTCTAAAAACTAACGAAGGAGTTTAGAAAACTTAAGGCTGGATATGATTGATAGAGGAACTGTGACTGTCTGCAAGGAGACAATTAGAAATGAGCTATATGCAATGGGTTGGCAGAAGAGTCGAGGAATTCCATCACCGATCATGAAACCTGAACAAAAGGAGCGAAGGTTGAACTGGTGCTTACAGCATAGAAATATTAACTGGGACAATGTGATTTTCTCAGATGAAAGTTCTGTGTGGCTGTTTCCTAATACACTGATATTCTGGATCAAACAAACTGAAAAACCTTTGTATCAGCGCCCAAAGTACAGTCTGAAATTTAACGTGTGGGGTGGCATATCTGTGTTAGGGGCAACGCCCCTCTGTGTATTTGAAGGGAATATGAACAGTGAGCGGTACACAGATATTTTCGAGGGACTTTACTTCCATCTGCTCACGTGTTCTATGGATATTTTTTTATTTTCCAGCAGGGCAACGACCCAAAACATCGTTCAAAGCATTCACAGGCCTAGTTTCGGACCCAAAATATGACATTATTAGATTGGATTATTAGATATTGCTCTGACCTAAATCCAATAGAAAATGTTTGGGGACTTATGAAGGAAAGTGTCAATAAGAAAAATCTCACAAATATTGCTGAAATGAAAGAAGAGGTGGTCCGATATTGGGACCACGACTTTCTAACTTATTTGATCAGTGGTATGCCCCGCCGCATTGAAGCCTGCATTGCTGCCCATGGTGACTTGACAAAATACTAACTGTTCACCTGTCTTTGAATCTGGAGTTGTGTTCTGCTGATATTCACATTTAATACATGAGTAATGAGTGAAATTTCTGGTTGTACTGTAAATATACAATTTATAGTTAAAATTTCCAAACTCAAACAATGATATAAGAGAGAACTTGTTTATTTATGTCTCATCTTGTACATACAAAGAATACATACATATGTTACTAAAATATAAATGTACAAGCTGCCAAAGGGCTATATGAGACACATGCAATAAAATGACATAAAACCTTGCAATGCATGATATGTATTCACACCTGCTTCCTTTCCACTTTATGACACAATTAAACAATCAGGACTTGTTTGTATGACTAGACAGATTCCTGAACTGTTTGAGATGTATTCTAGAAGTTGTAAGTTATAGGAATGACAAGTCTTTATGGATGATCAACTTTTTTATTGTATAATAGTGATGTTTCTGGATAGATGCTTACGCAGTTTTCAAGCTTGAGTTGGTGAATGGATACAGCAGCATATAATATATAGGATACATGAGGGCTAACGAGACAGTGGATGATAAACAAGATGAATAACAATGAAAACAAACATAATACTGTAATCGTATATATTTTCATGGTTTGCAAGGTTCGCGGAAAGTTCACAAAAGAGAAGTTAGCACAGTTCTTTTTTCGCGCATTTCAAACACCTGAGTGATGGTATCCATCACAAAGTTTTCACAACCCATAGACATGCAATGATCAAAGCTAGCCGCCATAATTGAATCGTCTTTACTAAAACAATCACAGAGAAAGAGGTGGGATTATACTTGTGTCAACATGACGACATCTGTCCCATATGCGAGATCAACTGACAACGAATTATGGAAGAGTGTATACTAGTACTAGTACTTTGTGGAGAGTTTGTTGCTCGAAGAGGTCATGTAGATTTCAGAAAGGATAGGAGAGAGTGGCAAGCCAAGTGATCCTATATCCTGGCAGTTATACAGTGTACTTTGTTAACTAGAACACAGAAGCTGAAACTTAGTTATAGTGCTTTTTCCAACCAATGATAACTGATTTTGTTGAACAGGTTCAAAATAATTTGTTGCTGTTGTGTCTTCAAAAGTTTAGTTGTTAACATACTATCTCATAAACCACAAGGTCTAGGAGTTAACATACTATCTCATAAACCACAAGGTCTAGGAGTTAACATACTATATCATAAACCACAAGGTCTAGGAGTTAAAAATTTGGTGTTAATGGTAAAGGCTGTTATTACATTCAAGATTGAGTGAGTTCACTCAATGACTTTGACTAATAATATGAACATTTGGTTCATTAGAAGTGAGTTATTCAATTTCTTATGTAAATTTGCATGCTATAAGAATGTTGGAAATGTCAGTTTTCATCATAATATAAACAACTTCAGTTATGGCAAAATGCACAATTACACTATAAGTTTCTTCCTACTTCTTGTGGTGGAAGATACCTATGTGTAAATGGTGATATGTTCATTGTGAGCAAGAGGAATAGGGGAGAATGGATCTCATGGAGATGAATTCAGAAGGAATGCAGATTAACAGTCTCAACAGAGAACGACATAATATCTCAAATACCTGGAGACCACAACCATGGACCTGTACACAATGAAGTCAAGATAAATCTTTTCAACAGTGCCAAATATGACTGGCTTAGAGGCAACAAGTTGTGAACCTAAACAAGTCAACAAGAATGCATATCAGTTGTTTGGGTTTGATTGTACAAGCTTTTTGTCAAATCATAGAACATTCCGGAAAGAGTGACTTCGCAATTTTGTTGTCATGATGTAAATGTGTATGCATAAATGTGACTGAGGTTAGATTTATAAATCCATCGGTAAATGCCACCCATGTTGAGAAACATTCATGTAAGCTACAGTTTTCTGGCCCTAATTTTCTATCATGTATAATCACATATTTTTATCTGCATAATCTGAAAGAATTAGTTATTATTTCAGATGCTCAGGAGGCTCCCCGGGATTATTCACTTGATACATCCAGCAGCCTTGAGAGTCTGTCATCATCACCTAGTGGATCCACTGCCTCTGTCTTTTCTACCCCCGCCACTTTCACCGTATGGTCGAAGATGTTCACTCTTCAATCCAGCAGAGATGGAGAAAATGAGGTCCTCCAAGATTCACTCTTTCAATCAGGTGATATTCATTTGAAAATCAATTGTCTGAATAAGTAAAGGGAAATCAATTGTCTGAACAAGTAAAGGGAAAATTGTTGCTTTACAACTGGTTATCTCCCAAAACTTCTACAAAAAGTCAAGGCAGAATGATGCACGTACCTATGGGTATAAAGCAACAGCCCAGGGTTGGGATTATAGAGGGAGTAGTTGGGACTAGAGGATTACAGGAGTAGAGGATTACAGGAGTAGAGGATTAAAACAGGTTCAGTGACAACTTATTACTTACTAAGTAAGATGAAAGAGTTTTATGTGTTTACAGTAACAACATGATCCAGGCTCACTTATTCAGTGGAGACATGCAACAATTTTAAACATTTAATATAAATTAATTAAAAAAATAAAAACTTCAGTCAAAAATGCAGTTGATATTACAAATTGAGTATTCTCACTTTATAAGAGATTAAAACTGTAATATATAACCTATGTCAACCTGCAGTAGGAACATGCAAGAACCTCTTTCTGAAAAAAACCTACACAATGTACAAAGTGTCTCCAATATGACCATACTCAAAAAACTTGTACAGAAAACAAACATTGCACTAAATGCGGCAAAAATAACCATACATTTGATAAGTGTAAAGCACTGCATCCATTGCCGGATAACAGACCATAGCTCATTTGCCCATAATTGTCGATATAAACAACAGCTCACAGCTGAACTCAACAGACATGTAACCAAGACAACCCAATAGACTAAACAGGCAAACAACTATCATAAAACCCACACACAAGATAGACACAATCAGTCTATAGATCCAAATCAGGAAAGACCAAACTCCTCAACTCCAAACAGTAACAAGGTACTACCCCAAATGGATCTTTCTCTAAATGATTCCAGGAAAAAACAAAACATCAAACTTCTCTCTGAGTTGGAAAAATCTCTGGTACAACGTGAGAAATCACAAAATAAAGGTAAACCTCAACCAGTTACATTTCAAACCTCAGCTTCCAGCACTTACAAAGAAAATCAAAATCAAACCCACAAAAACGTGGAAAACACAAACTGCAAGACGACTAAACTACTCAAAATTAAACCAATACATTCAGTCAAATGACCTGTACCAAACAATAGATGACAGCTCTTACAATCAACCCAACTTCAGTACTTTGGTTGAATCCATTATGGAAGTGGCACTTAGATCCAAAGAGGCACTATAATAGAAAAATGGATAGAAAACAATGATTTAATCATTTTAAAACACCAGGGTCAAGCCACATGGCACAGCTTAACCAAAAACCAATACATAGCAATTGATCTCTCATTAATAAACTCTCAACTAGGCCACAACTGCTCATGGGATATTGGTACAGATTCCTGGGGTAGTTACCATTTCCCAATTCTTGCACATATAAATGGCAATCTTAAAGAAAATTCAACTACCGGTACCCACATATCAAACATAGAAATAAGGAAAAAATATAATTTTAATAAAGCAAACTGGGAAAAATTCAAAATGTTCTGCACACAACAACTTGAACAAACCAACTTTCTTAAAGATGCAGACAAACTAAACCAGCAAATAATAGACATATTAATTACTGCTGCAGACCAAAGCATCCCCTTAAGTAAATAAACAGAAGACACTCCAGTACCCTGGTGGAACAAAGAAATATATAAAGCCAGAAACCACAGAAAAAAACTTCTAAAACAAGCACGCAAAGATACAAATAAAAATTCCTCTGGCACAGGCAGCTAGACAAAATGTCAAACAAATAGTACAAAAGGCCAGAGACCAGGGCTGGCTCAATTTCTGCAGCAACCTAAGCTTCAAAACAAATTCCAGAAAAGTCAGGAAAAATATAAACTGGATGAGGGGTAAAAATAGAAAACAACAATTTTTCCTTATCCTGACTCATGCTCTTATTGCTTGTCTCCTTCCTCTTGCGAACATAGTGGAACACTTGTATCTCCCTAATTGAAGTTCCCTTCAATGTAAAATCACTAATTAGTACACCACGAGTTACCTCCCTTCCACAAGCGCGGGAACGAGGGCGCCACCTCTACCCATGTGCCTCACTCTCTCCTTCTTCGCCCAGTGAGCTGGACGTGAGAGCGCCTGTGTCTCCCTACACACTATATCCTTTGATTATATTTAGTTAGTTACCTCGTATAGAGATCTATAGAGGTTTAGCTAGTATCTTTCAACAATTATATATTGATATTTAGTCGTGTTTCTACTGTTTATGCACGGGGCCGTGCTGTTTGCAGTGGATTACGTTGATAAAAATTCTGTACTGTTGCACATTACGTTTTTATTCTGCTGCTGATCGCATTTAATATGCCCTAGCTGTACTGCGCCATGTTTCATGTGATTCACGTTGCAGTTGCGATACTAATTTATCCAATTCTACCTTTAATAAATAATTACTTTGCGTTTGAGGCAGCGCAGCAGATAGATGGGCGTATGCAGAGTCTAGCCATGACTGATACACCTGAACCCCTCGCCAGTCTACTGCTGTTGGTCGACCCCCTCCCGTCTGGTGTTCGCTAGAGTGGTAGAGGCGTGGGGCGTAGTCCGCCGCCTCAGAAGCGTCCTGCTTCCCCAGACATCCCATCGTCGCAGCCGAAGACTAGAGGGTTTCTACTGCATCTCTCAGCGACCTCTGAGGGAAATCAGCGAAGTCTACTTGAACTTTCTCAGCCGAGATTGTTCCGTCGCGAATTTGGGCCTGTATGATGATCAGCCGATCATCATACCTGATAATACATCAAAGAATGACCGATGTCGACAACAGTGATGTCAGCGCAGATCAACATGCAGCCTGATGTACCAGCGCTGATATTCTATGATCTTCCTGAGGGTCCGTAAGCTACCAACACTCAGCGCAGACCCGCACCCCAGGGCAGCGTCGACCTCTGAGGGGAAATCAGCGAAGTCTACTAGGACTTTCTCAACCCGAGATTGTTCCAGCCGCTGAACTGGGCCTCTCGATGATCAGCCGATCATCATCCCGGCGTCGCCACAAGAAGCGACCGGAGACAGCTACAGTGACATCAGCAGAGATCGCCATGCAGCCTGAGGTCTCTACACTGGCGTCAGGCGACTTCCCTGAGGGGCCCGCCGCTAACATCGCAGAGAGGGCACCGACTAATTAAATCGCAGACCATCCCAGATGAACTGTTGCGGCAAATCATGATCATGATGGAGGGCCACTACAGACTGGGAAGCAGCCAGCCCAAGGCCTGAGCCCAGCGAAGGTTCCAAGCATGAGCGACACCCCAGAGGCACCCCATCAGCGTAACAGCCACGGCGAAGCCACCTTCAGCGAAGGAAGTTGCAGACCACCTCCACGAAGGACCCAGATGTACAGCCAGCAGGAAGGCCCAGCGAAGGCGGGATAGATCATCACCTTCCCTCGGCTTCATCCTTAGATGCGGACTCAGACCATCAGACCTCACGGAAGCCAGCGAAGGTCAAATCGCCGTTCCCAGGAGGACCGGAGGAAGAAGGAAGCGAAGGCCCAGCGAAGGACACCTGACTACACAAGAGCTTAGCGAAGCTATCAACATTCTCCTCACAGGTCTCGAGAAGGTCAACCCATAGGCGCCAGATCACCAACCACGATCTCAGCGCCCGTTAACAGCGCCCGATCTCTCTCGTACATCACCCGTCGATCGTCTCACAGGTCACCACACAAGTCTGCACACAAGTCTACAGTCAGGTCTCCCGGCGTCACCCGACATAGAGATAGAAATACACAGTCCACCATCAGAAGAGCATCAACATCTCATCAGCGATGCTGGGATAGAAAATGATGGAGGCATCATTTTCTCAGGCGCTGAGATCACGATATTGGATGGTAAACAACCTAGATCTCTCTTCACCTTCCAAGAGTGGCAACTCGGCGCAGACATACCTGATAAAGGAAGGCGAGGCAGGCGCCATCACCTTACCTCCGATCGACTTCGATTGCTGCGGTGCCACAGTATGTGGACACAGCCTACCATAAAGCCATAACAGTTCAAGCGCCAGAGGCGTATGTTCTTGGCATTAATAGATCTAGAGCGATCAATGAGATTCTTATCACCAGATTTGGTGACCACGACTTCTGAAGATGATAGGATGATCTACTCGGCTCTACTTATGCAGAACCAGCAAGAACCACACCCTGTATGAAGCTAGCGGCTCATATATTGATCGGATTCTAGACGCGGCTAAGGAAGTCCCAGGCCACCTCAGCGAAGGGCTAGAGCCTCACCAGTTACAAGGGGCGTCCGCGGAGGAGGGTAAGCTTCACCGACCCCACATATTGCTGAGTCGCGGTAAAACAAAACACTCACTCACTCACTCCTGTTGAACACAGAGGTCGTTTCATGAAGCAAGCTCATATATTATATATATACTGATCGGGCTCTGACTCGATACCTTCAGCGAAGGTCGCGAAGGCTAAGTGGCTCAAGTCTACCTCACACAGGAAATCTAGAATGGATGCTTCGAGAGCTTAGCGAAGTCTCCGGCGTCCACCGAGGAATTCTCCTCCAAGGTCTCCATATATTAGCCCTTTCGTCATATATAGCTACTTTCGTCAGTCCGTTCAAGACATCGCATAAGTTGTCTATCAACTGTATGCCATATGCGTCTATAAGCCTCTGGCGAAGACAATTGCACAGGCTATTTACAACACAAAGCGTCGCTATATTAATTAATCAGCGGCGTTGCATAGATCTTCACAGAAATCAACCTTTCATTATAGATTGCTAGAATATGCAATCCCGGACTCTGATCACGATTATCTACATGCGTGACCATTCGCAGATCTGCAGACAATTCAATATCGAAATTGAACAGCAGCCTTGTTACAGCGAGTATAACTCATAATCGTCAAAGTTTCTGAGAAGAAATATGTACAAGTTCAGCTTTAATTCTACAATTATGGCGATACATTCATGTATACAGTCTACAAGCTGACAACTTGCAAGTTTATTGTACCTTTATATAAGGAAGTGAATTATATTCA